CCAGCTGGGGGTCCTTCCCATATAGTCCAGATTAGCGAGTGGAGACAGTATTTTGTTTTTGGGGGGGTTATTTTTTCTTGACTACTTTTCAACACATATTGACCTACAACTTTCACATATTCGAGTACAAATGCCAAACAATATTTATTAAAAGATACAAGTAAATTAATGAATTAGAACTTCCTTATACATTGTCAATAACTTCAACTTCAATTATCTCTAAAACTAGAGTTTCAACATTGAGTCAGCTGCAAAAAAATCCATTTTCTGACCGATTACCACCATTTTTACATATAGTGTGCACTGTTGTCTGTTCTACAATCCTATTAGAATGGATTTTCCATAAACTCTAAATGTTTTGTGTAATAAATTTTGTTGTCTGAATTTGGTGCATATTTCAAATGCCATATTGACAATTTTTTTTACAGTAAACTAAACTGAAAATCTATATTCTAAATCTATTAAAATGGAGATCATATACTATTCTGAGAGTATAACAACACTTAATGAACAATTGGTGATATTTAATATTTTTGCAGCAGATTTGAAAATCTGAAATTTTCAACATTAAATTTTATAATTATTTTTATTTTTCTTGTTTTTCAAGTTACGATGATGATCATTTAGACAAAGTTGGATTGCTTGCCCAGTAGATTATGCACAAAAAATTTGAAAGCGTTAGAACAAGTTTGAAAAATTTAACTCCTGATGCCATCGGGTCCTGTCGTATATATACGCCATGCACAGTTTAAGGGTTAAAGATCATTTCAGTGCTGAAGTGACAGTTCCTAAATTAATGAAAGGCCCCAAGTCACCCAAACTCCCTCCAAGAATTGTTTTGGATAAGTACTGAATTAAACAAAATAAAACTCTGAAAACTAATCTCAACCATTAAAGGGAAACAGTTTTTTCATTCATTTGCTAAGAAAAAGAACTGACCTAGCACCATCAGCAACATATTGTGAACTAGCAGGCAAGATAAACAACTAAGAGACCAAACCACCAAAGCCCAGGGCATTGCTCAAAGTGGCTGCCTCAATGCACGAAATTTGTACTGGTGCATTATAGTGTGTTGATTTATAGTATTGCATAAAATTGTGTGCACTCACCACACTCTGTACCACCTGTCAACAAGAAAAAGTGAGGGTATCCACGAACTCAGCAAAATTACTAATAAAAATAAGTACATTTTGAACCTTAAGCTAAATCCAGTCAAAAGAGCAGCCATGCAATCACACAACAGAATATAATCAACAAATGATTGTTTCAAAGGATTCTCATCACAAGATATAAGGAAAGGTGTTCTTGGCAGGTTAGAGATAACTGAGGATATGCAAAAGAAGTATGAAGAAAAAGTACTTAAATTAGAAGAGGACAATGGAGCACTCAGGAGCTAGCTTTGCACTCTAAAAGAAAGTATTCTTCAGCAAGGTAAGATTATTATTGCATTAACGGACAAGGTAACAAATCAGGAAGAACAAATCAAGGAACTAGTGAAAGAAAATGAGGTATGGAAAGTGAAGTGTGGTGACTTTTAAGAAATAAACAAGAAAATAGACTCATATTATTAACAACTCTAAGGGACCCTGAGGGCTAACATAGAGTTAGGTAAGGATCTGTAACTGGAAACTTCATTGACAACTCACATAGAGGAGGTTAATAAAAAACTAGAAAAGTATAAAGAAGAAATAAAGGAGATGTATGCACAAGTTGTAAATGAAAATGAGACGATTAAGGAAGTGTGTTTGAAAGTCAAAACCAGAAATGACAAACAAGAAGCGGATATTAGGCAAGCAATTAGGAAAGAACTGGTTACCAACAGTAAACTACAGTAGTACAAAACACTGCAGATAGAAATAAGTCCATAATAATTTTTGGATGTTTATAAAAGGAAATTTCATCTAGGGTGGACAGAGCAGCAGAAGAGACGAAAATCATAGAAAAAATAGTAGGATTAGGAGAAGGCCTAAATTCAAAGGAATATGTCAGTGATTTTAGGAGGATAGGAAAATATGAAAAAGACAAGAACCGCCCCTATGGGTGACGTTTAATGGAGTGAAATATATGACAGAAGTGCTTAGAAATGCCAGAAAATTGCAGTGTGATGAGGATGGCAAATGTTGGTCAATATGACAAGACCTCTCAAAGGAGGACACAGCAAAGCTGAAAATGAACCCTCATTGAAGCGAAATGTTTAAACGTGGATAGAAATGAAGAAGAAAAGAATTCTTTCTTCTACAAAGTGTCAGGGACTGGGAAGCTAGTGAAATGGCACATAAAGACAAAGCAACAAAATCATTAAAGGAAGGGGGTGTAAAGAACAAAGGGAGGTTATCTTGAGTCGATTTCGGGGCTTTAGTGTCCCCGCGGCCCGGTCCTCGACCAGACCTCCACCCCCAGGAAGCAGCCCATGACAGCTGATTAACTCCCAGGTACCTAGTTACTGCTAGGTAACAGGGGCATAGGGTTATCTTGAGGTTGTCTTGAGATGATTTCGGGGCTTTTAGTGTCCCAGCGGCCCGGTCCTCGACCAGGCCTCCACCCCCAGGAAGCAGCCTCTGACAGCTGACTAATACCCAGGTATCTATTTTACTGTTAGGTAACAGGGGCATAGCGTGAAAGAAACTCTGCCCATTGTTTCTTGCCGGCGCCCGGGATCGAACCCCAGGACCACAGGATCATGTGTCCAGTGTGCTGTCTGCTCGGCCGGCCGGCCCCGCCTGCCCCGGCCCACAGGGAAGGGAAACATGTTCTTGAAAATAATATATACCAACATAGATAGAGTGAGATCGAAAGTATTAGAGTTGAAGGATATAATTCAGCTCAAGGTCCCAGATATTGTAGCATTAACAGAGACAAAACTTGAAGAAAATATTTTAAATGATGTCGTATTCCCAAGAGGCTACTCAGTTTGGAGACATGACAGGAAAACTAGGAAGGGGGAAGGAGTAGCTGTGCTGGTGAAAGAACATCTGAAGGTAAGAGTGTTAATACAGTAATTGAAAACCCTCGAGATATTGACATAATGGTATTGCAGGTCTGCAATCAGTATAAGCTGATAATTTTAAATTCTCTACAGCCCACCAGCAAGCAACACATGGACAAAGGAAGAACACGATGACAAACGATAGGGCCTCGCCTATAGCCACACAAGGCAGACCCCCCACCAGGCAAAGAACAAAAATACAAGAAAATCCCCACAAAAGTACAACATCCCCAGAGGAAACAGGAACCAGCCGCTGCATAGGTAAGCTGGTTGTGCAACACCTTGATGCCCCAACCAGCAACAATACCACTTCCTAACAAGGGCCAGGAAACCCCAGCTGGCCCCAAGGGCGGGGTAAATGCTGAGCAGCAAAAGCCCCTACGGAAATGGCGTCCCGAAGGCACAAGGGAAGAGGAGGAGAGACAAGCACCTACGGGTAGTACTCATAGGGCACTTTGGGAAGGCCGCCCTAAGCGCATGCAGCCCCAGCACACTAAGTACACCTGGCCACCACACCACAAGTCAGCAGAGAAAACCACTAAGGCAAGACACTGTCAGGAAATCAAGGCCAGAGTTGACGACTGTCCCAAATGGCATTAGCCAATGAACTGGAGTAGGCAACTCGGAGAGTCCATGGCTTCCCCCTTCCCCTCTCGAGGATGGAAGGGCTGTGCGGACAAGCGGCGAGGTGTAACATTTGCTTGTTGGCTTGTTTCCTTGGGATTTGGGAGAATTCTGCCTCTCTGTTCGGTTTTCGGTTGCAATTTTCTTACCATGTGGAGTTTTTGTTATGCCTACCTTTCTGGGTGTCTAACCCCGGTCAACAGCAGATTAGGAAAAACCCCAACCACAGGGAAGTTTTCTAGGGGACCATTGCTCCCTGTGCCTCTCTGAGGGGGCTAGGTTCTGGCTCATGGTCTCCAGTAGGCTGAGCTCCATTGACTAATGCCCTAGTCTAATATATCACATATTAGCCCGATAGCTCCAAGCAACTGAAGGGGCTCCCCACAGAAAACAAGAAAGATCATAACATTATTAACTTATTAGTGATGTACAGTAATGGTAATTTTTTCCTGCCACGATCAACCATTACCCACAAGCCATCATCTCCCTTTCCCCTCATCCTCTCTCCCTTTCCCCCATTCCATCATCCACTTGGGATGGACAGTAGAGCGATGGTCTCGCTTCATGCAGGTCACCGTTCAATCCCCGACCGGCCAAGTGGTTGGGCACCATTCTTTCCCCCATCCCATTCCAAATCCTTATTCTGATCCATTCCAAGTGCTATAGAGTCCTAATGGCTTGGCGTTTTCTCCTGATGGTTCCCTTCCCCTTCCATCATCCACTTGCAGAGGTGCTGGAGCAGCACTCCAGTAACACTGCACAACTGCTAATAGTAAGTCATTTTTAGTCATCACTAATTCAATACAGATTCAATGAGGCTCTTACAACCATGAAAACATAAGAATAAAATAAGTGACAGAAGCCAGAAGGCCTATTAACCGATAAAAGGCTGATTCTATTTAAAGCCACCCAAACTTGTTCATATTTAAGTTTAACCTATGCTGTAAACGATCCAGCAATCCTACATCTATTATGTTATATTAGAACAAAAGAATATAGGACATTGCAAAAGGCCTATTGATCCATACATGATAGCACTTAAACCCATAAAAACTGAAATGTTTCAAATCAGAATGGGAACCTTTCTTCAATTTATGACCTTTGTTGTTTCAAAGTATTGGATCCAAGCAAAAATAGCACACTAGCTGGACCCAAGGTCAATCCCACCATAACTATATTGTATTTACAAGTGTTGTAGCTCTTCACTACCACATCCGGACCATTCTCACAGTTAACCTGATTACCCGTTATATTTTCTTCAGTAATAATATCAACAAATCAAAGTATTTGAGGAACATTTTGAGAAAGACATCTGTAAAACTGTACTGTTAACTCAGCTTTGGTCTTTTCTGTAAACAAAAATATTTCTATAAATGATGAAATCAAAGCATTTTAATGGAAAACTTTTAATTAAATCAGACTATAATAATTTAAATATTATTCCTATTTACAATTAATACTTTTACAATTTATACTTCTAAAATTTGAATTAAATCATGTGTTCTGCAGTAACTTTGGGTCCAAATACTGGATACCCTCAATCTGAATATTAGGAATCACATCTTCAAGGAGCAAACAGAGCAACTTTATGTTATTCACATCATCTAACCCATTAAGATGTAGATGCTTGAGGTTTCTGAAAGAAAAATATAACATTATGGTTAAATTTATAGATTTAAGAATTAGCACAATTCACGAATATGTAAGTGAACTTACCATTTTCATAACTCTCATCTATACTTCGGTTTGCAATAAGTACTCTCTGATCCCATTTTATCTATTTTAATCTCATCATATCTCTCATCATTAAATAGCTTTAATCTTACTGCAACTTAAATCACATCCAATTTAATACATATCATCACCTTTAACCCCTGGGCAGCACTTGTGATTATAGCCTGCAACACCGCCAACCACAAGAAACAAAAAAATAAAAAATACAATTTTTGTTCTTCTAAGATTGTTAAAATGTGGTTTCTGATCACAGGAAAAATAATAATAAAATTGTAGGCAACATATTTTGGCCGCAATAGGGCCAAGGAATTCTGGCAAACATGAGGCGCTGACATAGTAAGTGTCCCTCGCTGGTCTCCTCCACCCGCGCTGTCAAGAGGGGGTTGCCACAAAGATACTATTGCCTAATTATTTCAATGTCTCTGATTTTTTTCCTTTTTTTCAGTAATATTATTCAATAATGTGTAGTGTGATATATTTATATAATAAAATGTGTGAATATCACTATACTCAAAAGTATGGTGTGCATATTAGTGATTAAATTATTATGTTCATAAAACAAACAAATAGTTTTGCTGTTACAGTACTGTATTACACTATATACACACATTATATATAAGTATCTGCATGCTTTGTTCACCATAGCAAACCACTAAGTTGGTATGGTGAGTCCAAACAACAAGAGTAGCTGCCCCACACCAGCCAGCAGCACCTTACTTGTCAACATTCCTCCTTCCACAATACTGTTTGTGCTCTTATTACACTATATACACACGTTATATATAGTGTCACGTGAATCCCCTGCACAGCAGTGGAACTGCCTTTTCCACTTACCCTCAATGGCTCTGTACTGGAAGTTCACCTCTACACCAGCCAAGATGAGTCATCAGTCCTGCCACCTCTCTGTACCCGCTTCCCCACCCCCAAGGGCCTGGCACGGCCTGGTACGACTCGGAGGCAAGCTGGGCGCCTTAACTAGCTGGTAGTTTGCCATCACAAACAAGCAGTTAGCCACCTTCAACTAGCAGTGGTGCAGCCTCAACACAAAGGTGCCGCCAGCCACAAACTAGCAGTTTGCTCTCGGCGCTTGTTACCACCTTGCATAGACACTGGCTGTGACGTCATCACCACTAGACTATATAAAAGGCACCACCTTCCTAGGAAGCCAGTCTCTCTCTCTCTCTCTCTCTTAGTGCTCTTGGATCACCTTAGCCTCCTGCAACGTTGTCTGCCCTCAGCCTACGTCATGTGCTGGATGATGTGATGATATAGTAGTTGTCTTCAGCACCACCAGTATTTACTCATTTATTCTGTTCATTGTACTTGTTGCACAGACTTATTAATTTTAATATTATTTTGTTCACCTTTGAAGGGTATGATTGTCAAGTGTTCTGTTTTAATTATTTATTTGATGATTTTCACCTGTTCTTACCTACGATTGCAAGGGCCAATAGCAGCATTTTTGTTTATTTGTGTGATAGAGAGCCATACCACCTTGGATCAGTATAGCTGTGAAACCTGTCACAATATATATAAGTATCTACATGTTTGTTTACCATAACTTTACAACTAAGCTGGTATGATCTCCAAACAGTATAGTGGCCACAAAAAAACTGCATGACAAGTGACACAGCAGCTAGCAGACAACAGCCTCACTTCCTCCCTCACCAAAATGCAACCCGTTCTCGCACTTGCCCTCTGTTAATATTGGCTTATTTAATAAGTGCATATGTGACATACTAATTGACTGTGAATATTTTAGTTTATCTTGAACTAAAACTGAAGAAGAAAATTGTGAAGGTAAACTAAAATATTCACAATCAATTAGTATGTCACATATGCACTTATTAAAAAAGCTAATATTGACTGTAAGCAAGTGCGAGAACAGGTTGCCAAAATGAATCCTCCCAACACACTCCTTTTGCCATTATTACACTATACAGTATACACATGTTATATATAAGTATCTGCATGTTTTGTTCACCATAGCGAACCACTAAGTTGGTATGGTGAGTCCAAACAACAAGAGTGGGCTGCCACACCCAGCCAGCAGACACTACCTCCCTCACCAAAATTGCTCCTCCCAACATACTCATTTTGCTGTTATTACACTATATACACACACACACATTATATATAAGTATGCATCTACTTTTGTGTTCACCATAGCAAACCACTAAGCTGGTATGGTGAGTCCAGACAATAAGAGGTTGCCACACAGAGTCAGCAGATGACACCACCTCTCCCTCCCTCCTCACCAAGATTACTCCTCCCACCATACTACGCATGTTGCTAATTCTCGCCACAATCCTGCTATTATCAGAATCCTGGTCCTGTAAATGAATAATTTTCCACAAGTTTATTTTGTAAAGGAACACAAGAAGTTGTTTGAAGATTCTTACATGGAGGAAACAATGGCAGCGTGCTGTGGCTAGTGCTGGTATCGGATAACTCCTCCTCATCAATGAGATCAGCCGCATATTTGTTCGTTTCCTGAACAATACAGTGACACCTCGACTTACAATTGCCCCGACTTATGATAACTTCAAGTTACGATGTAAATTTGATCGAAAAATGCGACTCGACTTACTATAGTGTCATCGACTAACGATATTTGTTGGTACACGTTTGGGTCAACCGAGCGCGTGGTTCCGGGTCATGCAGGCCGACCTGCCTCAGTTTACTAGAGCTGCCCGCTTAGTGACGATCACGCCTATAAGAAATTCCGTTTTTGTGGTGATTTTTTGCTTTTTGAACATAAAACTGAGTATTATATATCATACCATGGGTCCCAGGAAAGTCAGTAGTAAGGTTCAATCTAAGAAAATAGTTGTGAGTAGAGGCAATAGAGGATGTCCCTTTCTCATTAAAAAAATGTGTGAAGTATGGGAAGAACTGCAAAGTTTTGTTGAAAAACTCACCCAGATAAAGCTGTAGCAGGCCGTTGCATTGACCTTTAAATGACAATGTGATGTCTTACTACAGAGAAGTGTTAAAATGTAGGGAAAAACAAGTGTCTTTAGACAGATTCTTAGTAAGACAAGCAAGCAGTGAGCCGCAAGCAGGTCCTAGTGGTATGCAGGCAAAACATGTCAGAAAGTGTATCCCAGAAAAGTCATCACTGCCTGATGTTATAATGGAAGGTGACTCCCCTTCCAAACAGTAACAACTCTCTTCCCCCTTCATCACCATCTTCCATACGCCATCAAAAGTCCTCCATAAAGGTAAGATAAACATATTTACTGTATTGTAGTTAGAGAAAAGAATTGTATTCAGTATAAAATGTATTTGTAAGTTAATATTTTGGAGGGTGGGAAACGGATTAATTCAATTCCCTTTATTTCTTATGGGAAAAATTGCTTCGACTTACGATATTTCGACTTACGATACGTCTTTGGGAACGGATTACCATCGTATATCGAGGCCCCACTGTATATTCCATGAGCGGCTCATCAAAATGTGTGGTAAAGTAGTCCATTTCACACATATCGGGACCTGTATCAGGGAAAAGGTCTGTAATCCCAACATCTGAATTATCAAAGACAGGAATTTGTGGAACCAAATCTGTCCCATCACTCCACACAAAAACACCTGCTGTCTTTCGAGAGGCACTAGCGGCACCACGGCGAGGAAACCGTGGACCAGGAGCTAAAGCAGGTCTTGCAACAGTAGGGGCGGGCAGAGACGGTGACGGAAAATTACCTGATGTTGAGGGTCTTTGTTCATCAGTGTCCCCATGTGGTCCCATGCGGTGCCGCATAGCTGGGCCAGATGCTGCTGACGCGACAAATTGTCGCTTGGCAACACCACACACTCCACCGGCACTAGCGGCAATGACACTATCTTCCGATTCTAAGTCACTAAAACCGGAAAATGATCCACCTTCCTCAGACTCGTCAACCAAAACAAGACGAGTCGAGTTCATGTGCAAGGTAGCACATGAACTGTGTGGTCTGGCACGAAGTGGGGTTGAGTGAGGGGTGAGGAGGCATGGGCGAGATGCTAGGCCTAGCCCTTGTGGAGCCAGCATGTTCACACTCATCGTCGGTCGTATCCACATCTGAGCGCTGTGTGTAGTCATTATCAATGTCTGAGTCGCCAATATCAGAATCATCACCATCTGGGAATAAATTCTTATTAATTTCATCCTTAGTCAGAGGTCACGATGAACACCTCGTTGAGCAGGGTCGGTCATTGGAACTTGATGCGCTCGCCATGGTGTTCGTTGGGTAACTGAGACCTGTACACAAAGGCGGCGTACGCTGGATTTTTTTTCCAGGTGGCATTTGTTTATGGTCGGATGTGGCTCGCCGATGACTACCCCTATCCCACACGGGGCGTTTCAATTATAGCGCTAGACACGAAAACAGCTATTAATGTATTGCGCAGTTCCAGTTTTGTTACTCAAATCATCTATATATGTATTGTGTGGTCTAAGGATTAATTAGCCGAGTTATTTAAGAGTTACTGTAATTTCACACCTCACTCTAATATTACTGGTAATTAAATAAGAAGTAAAATATAATTAGTGAATAAGAATAATCCATTCTCCTCTCCCAAGACATTGATCATCTGCTTCTACTGTATGATTCCCTTGTGTCATCCTTGACCACCGCTTTTGTTAAATAATTCTCAGGCATTCTGTTAACATGTCCATGCCATGTAAGTGTATTGTGCTTCTCACAATTCCACTCTATATTTAATTTCTTAATCCCTTTTACTCATACCACAGATCTTATATACATTTAATTAAATTACCTATTACTCATATTAACACCAACTAGAAATGGACAATTTGATTAATATTTGTGGTGTTGTGAGGAAAGAATAAGATTGCAAAATGGTATAAAAAGTTAGTACAGTAAATTGAAAGACTAAAGAGTGTATTTGGATTGTTTGGAG